TTGGGGCTGCTCGGCCTGGTCTCCTCGGTCAGTGATTGCTTCCGTCCTCTGGGTAGGGTTCGGGGGCGAAGTCCCGCTTCGTGTTAGGCCTTCGGCAGTTTCCAGTGTAGGGGCTTGGCTAGGGGCCTTTCCTAGAGTCGGTTGTTGCTGCTTTTTCGGCTTTGTCAGATCTCCGGGGGAGGGTTGTTTAGTTTTTTTTTGCTTTCTAGTTTGTTTTGTAGGATGTGCTTTTATTTGCTTAGTTTGGTTGTTGTTTTTGTTTCGGAAATGAATACAGGCTAGGCATTGTGCAGTGGCTCAGTTTTTTATTTTCCTTTATCTTCGTTTTGGAGTTCTTTAGGCCGCCTAGTGCGTGTCCTCTCAGTTTGCTTTTCTTGTTTGTTGTGTTAGGTGTGTTTTTGGTTTGGGTCGTTGACCCCTGTCTTATTACTCTGTTGGGGCCGTAGATTATTACCCTTTTAGGGCCGTACATTACCCCGTTGGGGTCTTGTAATTTGTTCTTTTTGCACTTTTGTGCTTTGTTATATTACCTCTATCGTTCCGGCAAAAAAAAAAAAAAATTGTAGTGTTACATTATTACATCTATCTTATCATGATAACATTCTATCTTGAAATGCCCAATGTATATGAAGTTTTGGCTAGAAAACCATGAGTAGATTTGTGTAAGTGTAAAACATACATCTTCATTTTAGTGTAGAAGTGGTGATGGATATAAGAACCCATTTTTTTTTTTCTAATTTCAATATGTTTAATTCTTCAGAGGACGATAGTCTGTCTTCCAAATTCTAGCTATTGTAGGAGTGTACCTCCCGTTTTTGGCAAATTTACTGCAATGTAATTACAATCCCAATTTCAATATTTTCCAAATCAACCAATTTCTATATCCAAAATTTCAGAAAATCATATCTACCCTCAACAACAAAATGCGATGAACGTGAATCCGCCTCAGTATATTTGGCCCATAGCATCCAAGTATGAAATGCCACATTCACTTGGCATGCCTTTTCAACATGGTAATTTCATACCAACAACTATGAGTAATGGACCTTCTGGTTCACAAGATCTCCTAAGAGTTACCACGGGGCCAAAGGTTGAAGGTATTGACAATATTTGTCTTAATACGGAGACAAAAGAAAATAAAGAACCTGATCCAAAAAGACGTGGGAAAGCGCCGACGATATCGTGGACACAGGAAGAAGATATGTTGCTTTGTCGCGCATTTTTTACTATCTCGAGTGATCCCATTGTCGGTGCTCAACAAAGTTCTGAATGCTTCTAGAAACAAATCACTCAATATTATAATGAAGCAGCCCATGCTACAAACTTGATTGAGAGATATATGGATTCAACGAAATCTCACTTCTATGCTTTTCATGCAGATTGCCTTAAATTTAATGCATCCATAAATAGTGTTTTTAGTAAATATGAATTAAATGGATATATAAATTAAAGTAAGTGGGAAACATGAGGGGACCACTAAAAGAAAGTTTGTGAGATTTATGGTTATTGGAGGTTTGTGATACTGAGAGTGGGAATGAGGTTTAGATGATGTGGAGTATTGAGATGTAAAAAGTAGGGTTTATAAACCTTTGTGACTAAAGATGCTCTAAGTTAGGTTTGAGTAAGATTTTGAATTATATGAAAATAATATTTAAAATAAATTGATTAAAATTGATTTTATATAAAAATAGAATAAAACCGATTGGAAGTGATGTATAAATAAAATTATGTGACTGAATGAATAGTGAATTGAAGTTGATGTGATGTGTAAAGATGATTGATTAATATTATTGAATTATATTGATAATATTGAAGATCGTGACGTTGAGTTAGAGTTGAGTTAGCTTTGAGTTGGAATTTTATTTGTTTGGAAAAACTTTATAAACAAACTCAAGCACTTACTGCGTTTGTCCAATCTCCTCGAGTCTGGCGCGCCAACAGCTCGACATGGAAATTCAGATCACTATTACAGACATCCTCAAGGCCAGCAGTCCTGCCGACCTCAAACAAGTTGGAGTCGTCCACTCTAGCCAGATATCAAAAGTAGGGTTGCAAATGAGCTGAGTCGAGTCGAGCATTTGTCTTATCGAGCATGATTGATTTTTTCTTTTTCTTTTTTTTTTGAGCTACTCGAGCTCGACTCGATAAAAAAATACAGTAGATTGAGCTCGACTCAAATTTTATATGCTCGAGCTTAGCTAGAGCTTCAAAAATTTTCAAGCAATTTTGTAAAATTATCATTGAGTATATATATTAATATTGTGACACACACACACACACACATATCTCTCTTATATCTTATATGAACGAGTTAAGACAGTTGTGGTCGCGACACGTGTCCATTTTCGACCTCTCCGTTGGTTGACACGTGGCATTTGCTATTTTTTTTTCTTACATTGTGCAAAACGGCACCGTTTTAGTGTTGTATTTTACTTACTTTTATTTTATTTATTTTTTTAATATAGCAAAATGATGGCGTGTTTTGTTATGTTGTGAAAAGTACTTTTCTGATTTTCCTTCACACGCTACCTCCACCACCGACTGAAAGCAAAAATACATTGACCTGTCTTTGCTTAATTCTTAAGCCAGAGCAGAAACCGATCTAAAAATCAGTTCCCCTCTCTTCAAAACTTTAGCCATGGAGAAGCTGCAAAAGTTGTCGCACCTCTTCCGGGATTTCTGGACCTGAAAATCTGCGGGGACGTGCGTGATGTGTGCTTTCAATCCTTTGTACAGTAAATTGTTTTCTCGTAAATTGGGGCCGACTTCGCGTATAGGTAATTATTGTTTGTTGTATCTCATTGTTTTAAGAAGCAAATGCCCATGTCTCATTTTCTCTCCGATCAATCTTTTTTTTTTTCACATAACACGCATAATTTCTCAGGACAATTCTCTCGGGGGCAAAAGTGGTGGACGGACTCGCGGTGGTTCGGCGATGGAGAGCAGCGCTCCAAGAGGGTCCACTTTTTTTGCCATCGGGCTTCACAAACCAATCCCTAACCTTCGCTCCCCACTCACTGCCATAGCCGCAAGGCTGCCGACTCAGTCGCCGCCGCTGCAGCGGTTATCAATTAACATATCAGCCAACTCTCCCCTTCCTTTCTGATCGCTCGCCGCTGGACAACAAAGAAAGGGAAAAAAATAGAAGCGACCAAACCCTCGTTGCTCATTTCCCTGCGAATTTCGCCGTTTCACAACAACGTCGGAAACTCTAGACGAGAAGAGCTCTTACCGCAGCTAGAATGCCACCACGCCGTAGGACAAGATGTTCGTTGTTACAGACTACAACACAAATCCCTGAGATTCGGTGAAAGCCGCCTCAAAATTTATCTTTTTGTTTATGTTTTTATTTTTATATTTTTGTAAATTTTGTGTAAATGCGATATCTTTAGACAGATCCGAGTGCAGAAGCTCAGCCCCGGTAGATGCTGACGAGCGGTAGGCTGAGCCCGGGTAGTTCACAAGCGGCGATGGTTGGGGTGATGAAGGTAACGACAACAGTAGCTCCGATGGAGTTCTTGTTGGGTATGTACAATTTGTTTTTCTTATGCGTATAAATTTGTTCTCTGTGTTCTTTTCTCATCTTTCGGGGACGATAATACGGAAAAAGAGCTTAACGTCAGTTATGCCCACTCTGAAACATTGTCGAGACTCGAGCAGGCAGCTCGGACAGCGTTATTCATTTCCCTGCGAATTTTGCCGTTTCACAACGTCGGAAACTCTAGACGAGCAGAGCTCTCACCGCAGCTAGAATGCCACCACGCCGTAGGACAAGATGTTTGTTGTTACAACTACAACACAAATCCCTGAGATTCGGTGAAACCCGCCTCGAAATTTATCTTTTTGTTTATGTTTTTATTTTTATATTTTTGTAAATTTTGTGTAAATGCGATATCTTTAGACAGATCCGAGTGCATAAGCTCAGCCCCGGTAGATGCTGACGAGCGGTAGGCTGAGCCCGGGTAGTTCACAAGCGGCGATGGTTGGGGTGATGAAGGTAACGACAACAGTAGCTCCGATGGAGTTCTTGTTGGGTATGTACAATTTATTTTTCTTATGCGTATAAATTTGTTCTCTGTGTTCTTATCTCATCTTTCGGGGACGATAATACGGAAAAAGAGCTTAACGTCAGTTATGCCCACTCTGAAACATTGTCGAGACTCGAGCAGGCAGCTCGGACAGCATTATTCATTCCTTGCTTGGCTATGTAAGGTTGGTAGCTTTTGTCGGGTTGTTGGGAACTGAATGAATCTGCTATTTACATACTACTTATCTATGTAGCTGAACCCACACAATTGAACAAAGATTTTCTATAAATAGGACTTATATTCCCTTACCAATTTTAGTAGGTAATCTCAATCTTTAATATAAGTTGCCATCGGCGTGGATTTTGCTATTGTTTTAAACAAGTCACCAGGATCATATGAGTGCAACTTTGCCTGCAGCTGTTTGTATCATTTGAGTGCAACTTTGCTATTGTTTTCACCAAGGATCATATGAGCATTATTGTTCTCCGTGAATTTCATAAAATGACCAATTTTATAAGTATGCATTATTCCATCAGTGGAATGTGGATTCATGTTGATATCTTTTGATTCTTTTGTCTTTTTATTTACTATATATATAAAGGTAAACTACGGAAGCAAGAAAATCCTACCCACATGTACTAAACATAAACCAAAACCATTCACGTTTTATGCAATTAGAACCAAATGTATATGTAGGTGTCACCTTTACCTTCATTTTTCTTGCAGGGTTCCATATCCAGACACAAATTTTGTAATGGAGAACACTAATGGCACTTTTTACGATAGGGATAAACTTGATCTCGACGGGCAGGTTGAAAGGAAGGATATTTATAATGATATTGAGGGGGTTGGCCTGTACTCAGTTTCCAGGTGTTGGGTCTTCAAAAGAACTAATAAGGTTTGTCCTTCAGTATTGTATCTTGTGTATAAATAGTAAAAAAAAAAGATTACATCTTCGTTTGTAGAAGTTCTACTGGAGTTTTTTAGAAGTTCCTCTTGATTTTGAGGCAAAATTGTTTCTGTAAAGAGTGACATGGTGGAATAGAATGAGTTTTTGAGGACATAAATTTGAAATGGTAAATTCACAGTTCAAGAAGTTTGTTTATTTTTTATTTTTCTAACTTTTTTTTTCTAGAATTAGGATACTTAAATTTCTACAATTTCTGCAACAAATTTTTGTAATCCCTGTTGTATTTCAAGTTATTAGTTTGTTTTCATTATTGTTACAATTTTATGTATGGCACTTGAATTCAGATGAATGGAGCTCAGCTACGAGGATGTGAAATCAAATGCTGCAGTAATAAACGTTTTGGGATTTTTACATCGAACAATGTGCCTGATGATAATAATAATAGGTTTTCCTTTTTAACTTTGTTGAACCATGGATTAATTCAGGTTGTGGATTTCGGGCTTGTGTTTTATGTACGTGGAATTCCATGCCGGTAAATCTATGAATATGAACGTTGTTGGTCTTAAGTATGAGCATGTGTAACATTTTCTCCTTTATATTGTTGGGATTTTCTTTGAGAAACTGAATTGTAAAAGGTTATTTGATAGATAATTTTGGATTTTCTTCAGGTGGCTTTTCTTTCAAGAGAAAGGAAAATGGATGCACTGCTTCAAAAAGAGTCAATTGTTCAGCCCAGACACCTCCTCCGGCTTGGCCGGGCCGGGCTGCCGTCGATTCCGACAGAAAATTATGGGAGGGACCGAAACCCATTTCAATTGTTGGATCCACTAGCTCCATTGGAACACAGGTTTGAGAGATACAAATTATGGTGCGTTTTAAGACCAAGAATTAATAACTATTTTTAACTGGAGTTCGTTAAGTCGGTCTGCACATGCTTGGCTGATCATGGCTGCATATTTTCTTAGCACATGATGGGTTTCCTAAAGTCAACTTTCTGCAATTGAGATCCATTATATTGTTTTCTTATATTGATTATATATTGTATATTTAATGTTCGCTTCTTTAGACATTGGATATAGTTGCTGAAAATCCGGATAAGTTTAAGGTTGTTGCTCTTGCCGCTGGTTCAAACGTGACTCTTTTTACCGATCAGGTGATCGATTAGTTGATAACATGAAGAACTCAAGATTTTTTTATTTGTTAAGAATATGTTTAAGTTCTCATACTGTGACCGTCTAATCCAAAAGTAATATTTTCGTGGAATCATGTTAAGAAAATAGCTCAACCGAAGGAAAGTAATCATCAGCTTTACATAACCCAATCCGAATATGAAACCGATTCTTATCTGCAATTTACATACAATGAAAGAAATTTTTTACTTGCTATTTGCAAAACACTCAACTTTCAGCACACTAAACTTTTGGCTTTTATTCAACTACTTTTGCTTTTAAAAAATGATTGAATTAGCTTCAATTTATGGATTTCAATCCGGTGCCCCTCATGTAGATGAAGATGTTTTGACCTCAATTAGTTTCTGTTCGTGACGAGTCGCTTATCGATGAACTCAAGGAGACTTTAGCTGATGTTCAAGAAAAGCTCGAGATCATACCGGGAGAGGAGGGAATCATTGAGGTTAGCTTTCACACATTGTTCAATAGCTTTTAATCGTATACTTACTTATTCTCTGTTGGTTTTATTTAATTATTTATATGCTTTTCTAACATCTGTTGTAACGAACCTCTTATTCCAGGTCGCTCGGCATTCAGATGTTGTTACTGTGGTGACGGGGATTGATGGATGTGCAGGTTTTGAAGGTAAATTATTTATACATTTTTTTCCTATGGCTCATCTTTTCTAGATTATAAATGGATAATCGATGTGGAATCTAATGTTAAGATTTGGCAAATTTAGCCTACTGTAGCCGCCATAACAGCAGGAAAAGACATAGCTTTGGCTAATAAAGAGACATTAATTGCTGGAGGGCCTTTTGTTCTTCCTCTTGCACACAAGCACAAAGTTAAGATTCTTCCGGCAGATTCCGAACATTCAGCTATATTTCAACGTCGAAATTCTAATAAGGTGGATCCATATGGTTTAGCAGAAAAGTAATAAATGATTAGCAAATTATTTTGTATTGTGAAAAAATGTTCTTTTTATTATCGTGTATTTTGTATATGTTTTAGTGCATACAAGGCTTGCCCGAAGGTGCTTTGAGGCGCATAATTTTGACGACATCAGGAGGAGCATTCCGGTTAGGCAATTTTTTAAGGAAGAATTTATTTTATTTATTTATTTTTTTTTTGGAATTTGGAATTTTCATATGGATATAAAAGTTAGATGGGTTTACTGATTTTCTCCCAAGTCCAATTACGTGTTGTTAATTCTTTATACAAAATTGAACTGCATCTAGCAACTTTTTTTTTTCCTCTTTTGGGAAACAGAATTGAATCTTTCTTATATTTAAGCACTCTGTTTATTTCCTTTGTAATATTTATGAAAAACTTTTGTTAAATCAAAGTGTGTATGATTAGATAGAGATTTGTCGGTTGATAAGTTGAATGATGTGAAAGTAGCAAATGCTTTAAAGCATCCCAATTGGAATATGGGGAAAAAGATTACGGTTGACTCTCCCACACTCTTTAACAAGGTAACTCCGAAATTAATTGCATATTAAATGAACAAAGTTTCTTTATTTCTTTTTTCTTTTTTGGTTTTAATGTGGGTAATTCATGTGGCCTTGATAGGGTTTAGAAGTCTTTTAGTTTGTATGATTCTTATGGCTTGAATCCAATTTATCTTATATGCACATATGCACACAGGATCTATGGTGGAATCCTGTAGTAAGGGAGCAAGCAATAATGAGAATTCACCGGATTGGCCAGAAGAGGACTGTCCATGTAAGAAGATTCATTCTCAAGGTGATTTTTATATTCATACATCAGCTTTTCTCTTTCAAAAATAAAATAATTTATGACACCCAACCGCTCGGGTCGGAGTTAATAGAATTGTAAGTTTGGGTGGCCTTTGGCCTGAAGATTACGTTTCTATATATCTGGCTTCCCACCATATGCTCCGACGCTTCGACCAATGTGCCTGGGGAGCAGCTGAGATTCGAGGTCAGCAACATGCAGATGTGGATGAGCCTCCTGAATCAACAAGGATGCGTGCACCGACTGGTTCGGGCGACTGCCCAACGATGGAGGACGTGTGCGACCAGCCGCTTAGGGTAAGGGAGGTGACGAGCAATGTGCTGGAGCCAGAAAAAAGGTGTGAAATTTTTTATATCCAATGTTCGATCCTTCAAACCTATTTCAATTATGTTTTGCGCAACGAGCTTTTTTGTGATAGCATTATCAAACTTTTTTTATTACACTGTGATAGTAAAACTTATTTGTAATCATTTTGTCAAGCTTTAGAGAGCTCATGTTTGTTGTGATGAAATTTGAAGACTTGATGTGTACTCAGCTGAAGATTTCATACTTTGTTGAAATTTATTCCAAAACTTCATTTGTATCAAATTTAGTAACAATGTTTAAAAATATATATAAATTAGGCTTATCTTTTCAAGAGACGACAAATTTTCATTATATTTTAGAACAAAATATGACCTGCAACAAGTGATGACAAATTTTCAGTAATCTTTGGTTATTATTATATCGTACATTACTTCACACTTCTTAACCCAAAAAAACAACAAAACAAATCATACAAAATTTTCACTATATTTTTAAATGTCACTTGTAACAATTATTTTTGATTTACAAAATGATTATACAACCTCTATGTAATATGATTGTAGGTTAATTAAAGAATCAACTAA